GCTAATGATGCTCAATGAGGATGACAAACTAATAATTTCCATTTATCTCAGACCTAATCTGTCATAGAACCCACAAGATCCAGATCTCATGGCTAGCAAGGGCATGGATTTGGCTTTTATTAGCTCATAAGCTACAGGATGGCGTGGCAGTGGTTATCCTGCTGAAGTCCCAGGAAGAGAAAGTGCTCTAAGAGAGTTCTCAGACAGTAGGGCCCAGAAAAAAGAAAATCCTTTCCCCAGCTCTCCTTAGAGACTTACAGAGGAGCGTCCTGAATAAGAATCTCTTCCCTGATGACATTAAGTGACTAATCATCTTGATTCATCTTCTTTCTCCAGCTTCCCCACCCCAATCCCCCTCCCACCAAGGGATCAATCAAGAATTGTCCAGTCTAGGGGCAGCTAGGTGGTGCAGTTGATAGATCGGAAGGACCTGAATTCAAATATGGCCTCAGACACTTACTAGTTATGTGAACCTGCGTAAGTCACTTAACCCCGATTGCCTCCAAAAAAATAACAACAACAAAACAAAACTGTTCTGTCATCCCAGCAAAACACATGAGCTAGAACACATGTCAGCTCCAAGCAGGATACCCTTAATCTCCTCCACATAGACTGAAGTGATTTTTCTAAATCAAAAGTCTCTACACATCCAGGCTTGTAAGATCTAAACTCTTATATTTCCAACTGCCTTTCAGACATCTTTAACTCAACATATCAAAACTGGACTCATTATCTCTCCTGATAAACACTTCCCCCTTCCAAACTTCTCTATTACTATGGAAAATACCACCATCATCCCAATTGCCCTGGGGTTCAAAACCTAGACGTGACCCTTAACTCTCCACTTTCTCTTCCTAAGTCACATCCAATCTGTTGCCAAGGGCTGTTGATTTAACCCTTGTAACATCTCTTATATAGATCTTCTCCTCTCCTCTGAAACTGCCACCACTCTGATACAGACCCTTACCACCTCACACCTGTACTACTGAATAGCCCAGTGGGGGGTCTGACTGCCTTAAGTCTCTCCTCATGCTAGTCCATCCTCCATTCAGCTGCCAAAGTAATTTTCCCAAAGAGCAGGTCTGACCATGTCACCCCCATATTCAATACACTCCAGTGGCTCCCTATCACCTCCTGGATCAAATATATAGTATTCAAAACCCTACTTCTCCCCCCTTTCCAGTCTTTTTATACCTTACTCTCCACATTCTTTGATCCAGTGACACTGGACGAGTCTCATCTGTTAGTTCTGGGCATTTTCTCCGGCTGTCTCCTGTGCTTAGAATGATTTCCCTCCTCATCTTTGCCTCTTGGCTTCCTAAAATCTCACCTTTCTACAGGAAGCCTTGCCTAACCTTTCTTAATTCTAGTTCTTTCTTTATGTTGATTATTTCTTATTTATCCTGAATATAGACTGTCTGTACTTATTTGCTTGATGTCTCCCTCATTAGATTGTGAGCTCATTGAGAGCAGGTACAGTCTTTTGCCTCTTTTTGTATCCTTACTACTTAGCACAGTGCCTTGACACATAGCAAGGACTTAATGGTTGCTGTCCTGGGGAATTGGAAAGTGTTGATATCAATCAAAATAGGGAATGTTTGAGGAGAAGTAGGCTTAGGGAAGAGGATGGATTTCAGTTTAAGCTCTGTTGAGTTTAAGGTGCTGATGGGTAAGATATCCAGGTGGAGATGTCTGGGAAGCAGTTGAAGTCTAGCTACTGGATTTCAGAGGAAAGATTAGAGCTAGATATGGTTGGTTATTGTCCTCCGTGCTCGAAGAGGACCAAAATGACACCACCATGTTGGAGTCAAGGTATAATGTGTTCAACTATGGCTGATCAGACCAATATGAGCTCAGAAGTCTCTACCACAGGTTGGGCACAGATAGTCCAGACATACATTTGAAGTAGAGATGTTAATTTGTGCATTTCATGTTTCTTTTAAGCTACTGCAATTCTGCTTTGCTCTTGGAGCATAGCACCTTTTTTTTTTTTTTAACGTGGGCATGCCACGCTGGGCAGTCCTGTGCTAGTGTCTTCCATGTCTCACAATCGGTTCCAGAATTCTTCAGAGAGACATGTAAGTACTTGCCTTGTGTGACTGGCATGTAACAGGTCCTTAATAAATGATTATTGACTAACTTCATTACCTGGTTCCAACTTACATTTCAAGTCTTATTACACATATTCTCATTTGTTCACTGTGAAGTTCAGCTAGACTGACCGTCTTAACATCTTAACAGGTAAACTGGCCTATAGGGGACATTTATCAGAGCATTCAATGATTTTACCTGACTGGTTCTGGTAATCTGAAGGGAAGCTTGGTAGAGGCTGGCTTCCTGCCACGTATGACTCATTGATGAGTCACATATTGCAGTATATGATGACAAAGAGTTTTCTCACTGGCTGCTGAGTGGGAAGAGTTGATGACTTGGGATGTACAAAAGGAAGCTACTGGGCTCTTCCAGTTTCTCTCCTTTTCTGGCAATGAAGCAGGTTTCATCTGTATGCGAAGAGTTGGGTGGGGGAAGAGGTAATTGCTCTGTCACTCTCCTGGCCTCTATATAGCAATAAGCGGGCTTTCTCTGCCTGTTTTGTGTTTGTTTCCCCAATCTTAGGGGAATGGGTATACCACGGTAAATGTGTGTAGCACTCGAGGTGACCTTACGAGTTCTTAGAGGTCTGAAGGTCCTAGGAGACCTGTGAGTATGGAGAGAGTGGCTACCACCAGAAGAGGGGCCACACCTGGACCATTTTGCCAGCTGAGTTGACCAGATTGAGCTTTAAGTAAAATGTAAAATGGCTGATTATTTAAACTGCACTATGTTCTGATGGATTTTACCAGACTCTGAGAGGATTTTAACAGTATTTATAAATTGTTACCAAATCTTATTCAAATCATTCTGTCAATACATGCCATCATTCTTTTTATGTTTAGCATTTGTTTCTGTGTAGGCATAAACTACTTGTCCCATATCTGATTCATGTTGTGAAACGGGATGTTGGGGAGCTGAAGAGTGTGAGAAAGAGGCAGCTAACTCTCCTAATTAGAGGAAGGCTTACTTAGCACTGGAATCTGATTTAAGGTATGTTTGAGCTCAGAAAAGGGAAGGATGGAAAGCCCAAACCTGTACTCCCAGTAGTAGTTCCTTAAAGATAGATGGGAAAATAGTCCTACACCATCCTCTTTGTCCTTTCAATTTCTGTCATGACACCTGGTAACTAGCAACTTGGATGTTCACATAACCCTGAAGCTCCAACAAGCCTCCAGAAAATAGTAAAAAAATAAATAAATAAATAAACAAAAACTGTAGCAGAGTGTGAGCAAAAGATGATAGCTTCTGCATGCACCCCTAATCAAATGAAATAACATATGTAAAAGAGCCATGAAACCTAAAAGTGCTATATAAATGCTGTCTATTTATCTAGCTAGCTAGCTATTATCTAATAATTTATCATCTATCTATTGTCTTAGAGGTCCCTGAAACCCTTTCTGGGTTATTTTCAAAATTATTTGGATAATAATACTATTTGCCTATTAAATACTCTTTTTTTTAAACAACTATGTATCTGTGTGAGGTCAGATTTTCTTTATATTCTCCAACCAAACCAACATATCACAACAGATTGAATGCAGAAGCAGATAAGAGAAGCCAGTTTCTTCTATTAAGTCACAGAATAGAGTGATTAGCAAAAATATGTAAAACAATGCCATTCCTCACTAAATTTTGTTTTGGAAAACTAAATTTTGTTTTGGAATTATTATTTTTCAAAATAATAATAGCTAGCTAGCAATATTTTATTGTTTTAAGGTTTGCAAAGCACTTCACAGATTTTATTTTATTTGATCCTCACAACAACCTTGCAGGTAAGCGCTATTATCCTTAGCCTATAGATGAGGAAACTGAGGTAAATAGAAGTTAACTAACTTACCTGGGGTCACACAGCTAATAACTGTCTGAGGCAGGAATAGAACGTCTTCCTGTCTCTAATACAACAGCAGTCTATTCACTGAGCCATTATCTCCCTCATTAAAAAAAAAAAAGTTCTTTGTGTTAACACGTAATGGACTTATTATTGTCATTTTTAAATAAATTAATATTTTAAAATGAACCAGTTTTAATTTCTAGCCGGATCCAGTTGGATCCGGCTAGAAGAGCCAGTTAAATTTTAAGAGTTAAATTTTCAGTGTGATTTTTGGAAATCGTAAAACACTAGAAACCAAGGCTTGATTTATTATTTTATTGATTGCTTAGGCTTAAGAAAGTGACAAAGAAAATGTTAGTAATGCAGATTAAACTTAAAGTGTCCTGTACATTCCCATCCCTCCCCAGAACCAGTTGTCAAATATTTACCACTCTACCACCAAAACCCACCTAAGCACGTGTATAATAGATATCATATTGCTTGCCCTCTCATTGGTTGGCGCTGGAGGGATGGAGAGAATTTGTAACTCAAAACAAAAATGAATGTTTAAAAAGAGAGAGAAACTCACCTAAACAAAAGCTCTTTGGGTTGGGGGGTCCTCACTAGTACACTAGTAGTGTAAAGAGGTCCTGAGTGCAAAGAGTTTGAGAATCCCTAGATTAGATGACCCATCTAGCCAGGAACCTGCTGGGGAGTCACAGCCGACAAGCAGCTTCATTCACGTAAGCACTCGGTTCTCATCAATGAGAGAGGGACTGTAGCCCCAGGACGGGCCAGCAGGGGGCGCGGCGCTCTCGCTTTAGCTTTCTAGCTCTGGGCGGGGCCTCAGCGTCCTTCTCTCTGTCTTTCGGTCTTTCTCTCTCTCTCTCTCTCTCTCTCTCGCCCCTCCCGCCGCCGCCGCCGCCGCCGCCGCCGCCGCGCTGGGTCATGTGACTTTCCGCTCATGGCGGCTGCGCTCGGAGGCTGGTTCGGGAGCTTGTAGCCCGGGGTGTGGGGTCTGGTGCGTCCCTCCGTCCCCCCCCACCCCCCGCCCGCCCCCTGTCTGTCCTCTCGCAGCCCGGCCGGCGGAGCGGGGATGGCGGAGCGAGGCCTGGAGCCGTCGCCGGCCGCCGTGGCGGCCTTGCCAGCCGAGGTGCGGGCGCAGCTGGCCGAGCTGGAGCTGGAGCTCTCGGAGGGTGAGGAGTCCGGGGCCGGTCCGGGCCGGGGGAGAGGAGAGGAGGAGGGAGGGACGAAGGGAGGAAGGAAGCCGGGGGAGGATGGGCTTTGGAGGAGGAAGGGACCCGTCCCAGGGCCCGGGCCCGGGCCCCTTTCAGTGCGGGGAACAAATCTGTTGCCCGCACTGCCCCGGGAGGGCTTCCTCCCTGGGGATGGGTTTTTGCCGAGGTTTCATTGTCTCCCTGAAGTGGCAGCGGCTGGAGGAGGAGGAGGAGGGCGAGGGGGAGAGGTTTCCTTCGGGCCCGGGCTTCCCCTTTTCTGCCCCCACCTCCGGTTCGAGACAAAGCTGCTGCCTCCCCCTCCCCGCTTAGGGGCGAGGTAGGTAGGGCTACTGGCAGCTTTCCCCGAACTCTTCGGAGTGATCCCCCTCCCTCCCCTCCGCGCTTGGACATGGAATCATAAAGAGCAAAAACCCCAACCCTAGGAGGAGTCTGCCCCGCTTCTCCTCCTTCCTCTCCTCTGGAGCGCTGTCTCTCTGTCTGTCTGTCTCTCCAGTGACAGGGCTGGGATAGGATGAGCGAGCTCCCTCTGAGTCTCCCCTTTTTAGGGTCTCCTCGGGTGTCTGTGTGTGAGGGGTAGTTCCCCACCTCCAGTCTCCACTTCTGCTGCTCTGAAAGGGACAAAACGAGATGGGCCGCCGCTCAGGATACTTAGCTTGCCACCCCCTTTCTTTGGACCCCTGGAATAGGAGACAAGCCTTGTTTCTAATTTGAGGGTAGAGGAGATTGCGAAAAATCACCCACTGTTGTCACAGAAATAAGTGCCTGGGATAACAATGAGAGAAGAACACAGTGCAGTGTTGTCTGCATGTGAGGAGGCTTGTGATGCAGTTGTGATCAATTCCCCTGTAAAGTTCCTGTTTGTATCAGAGGCTGTCTCTCCAGGGACAAAACTAGCATTTTTTCTTTGTTGTACACATCATTGCTTCAGTGCTGTCTTAAGATCAGGATGTTCTCATTTTGTTTCCTTTTAATGGATGGTCCTCTAGAATTGCATCTTTCTGGAACAAAAATGCTGGCTAATTGGAATTGATGAAGGTGGCAGATTCCCAAGTGAAGAGTTCGGGTTTTGATTACTTTTGAAAGAATTGTATATTTAATGGGAAAGTAGGAAAAGTAATATTAGATGTAGAAGTCCACTTAAACATGGAAAAAAAAATCAGTTCTTATCTTTTAGTCTCTCTAGAAGAAAATCTCCCATGAGTTTTTTTTTTTAAAAGCCCTGTGAAAAGTATGACATCTGAATGTATTGGAAAATTAAATTCAACAAAACATTTAAGTACCTCCTCTCCTAAAACCTCTTGGCTAGGTGCTTAAAGGGAGACACAAAGTGCCTTCCCTCCGTTGATTATTTCCATTTTATTCAGTATATGTCTTCATTGTACAGTTGTCTGCATGTCTTTTCCCCCATTAGATTGTGAGCTCTTCCAGAGCAAGAACTTTTTTTTCCCTTGGCCTTTCTTTGGTATCCTCAGCACTTAAGATAGTGCCTGGCACATAACAGATATTTAATAAAAGCTTCTTGATTAAAAGATTGGAGATGGAGTTTGGTCAGTTCACTGAAATTAATAGGGTAATTGTATGGAAAGTTTCATGTTTTGGGGTTTAATGTCTTAAAGCCCCCAAAATTGTTCATGCCTTCATGTACTTTTCCATGTGAATGCTGAATAGCAGAAATTAATGTCCAAAGATAGTTTCTTAGACATACATTTTCTCTTGAAAATATTCCAAAATCAAATGGATTTGTTTGGCTATCCATTCAAGCACATGGAAATACCTCTTTTTTTCCGCACGTAATTTTCATATGAAACCAAATTTCAGTACTTCGGTGGGAGTTCGACTGACATCAGCTGTTGAGATTAAAACCCTTTATACCAAAGTAGTTGTTTTCATCATTCACTGTGATTTGAACAAGTTGATTGCCCTTTTGCTTTCCTTTGCTTCTCCACACTTAGCAAGTTTGGTCCTCAAACTGTCCATAAACAGGCCATCCATAGACCCTTAAAATCTTCTGGTAAGACCTGCCAGAGATTGTGTTGTGCTGGATTGTCATTGTCTTGGATTTGTGTCATTTTCACTTTACATTGAAACACTGAAATAGGGTTTAGGGAGTTCAGTGATAGCTGATTTCAAAGTTTGACTGTGAAATTGATTTCCTTTTATAACATCTTACCATAGAATTTGAGAAACTTAGAGAGTATGTATTCCAACTCCCTTAGTTTTATAAATAGGAAAATTAGTGGCTAAAACCTTGAGTAGTTTTGATCATTTAAATAGGAAGGGGTTCAAAAGAACCAGATATGTTTTTGTACAGAGGGAAGGAAATTTATGCTCCCTTTTGTTGTGTATCTACTTTATGCTCCATCTCGTTCTCTGATTACTGTTTTCTAGAGATGATTTTGAATAACTTCTTCGAAGACTCGTAAGTGATTAGCTCATCCCTCTCCTTTTTCAAAAAGTGTGAATAGCTTACAAACTGTGAATTCTTAGGCTAAGGTATTTTTAATGCCTTTAGCTGCACAGTTTGTTTTCTTATGAGGCATCTTATGGGGGTACTTTTATTACTACTTTGACCTTTTCTTAGCTTATTTCTGGTAAGTAGGTTTTGTTTCTTTGTATTTACATTCTCTATAGTACAGTGCCTGCCTGGCCCATAGTGTGCTCTTAACAAATAGTTGCTGATTTATTGATTATTCCTTATGTAGTATTATGCCATGGTTATTCCAAATGGCATATCTTTTGGCTGTAGAAAACTATTCCAAAGATCAAATTCTTTATTTTCTGCATGTGTCAGTGTCAATCATAAAACTGAATTGAAGAAAATTAGTGTAGAAATGTTACTATTAAAATAGCTCATCTGTAGTTTATCTTGCTTAAAATACCAATCATAGTTAGCTTGGGAATGAGGATTGTTTCTAAAGAATGAATTTAGTTTAAAAAAAAAACAGCTATATGCCTGTAGCATAGTGTTTCTTGCTGTCTTCATCATATTTTGGAAGGACCATTTTTATTATAATAAAATTTCCTCCAATCTGTTTTTCCAAATTTCTTTTGATGATCCATGGAAGCTAGGTGGGGCAGTAGATGAGTCAGGAAGACCCTAGTTCAAAACTGCCTCAGGCATTTAACTAACTGTGCCACCCTAGGCGAGTTATTCAACCTCTTTGCCTCAGTTTCCTTAACAGTAAAATGGGGCTAATAACAGGTTGTTATGAAGATAAAATGGGATTATAATTGTAAAGCACTTTGCACAGTGCCTAGCATATAGTAGGCACCATGGAAATGCTTATTACCTTCCCTTCCTTCCCAGTGGTGTTTCTTTGACATCATTACACCACTGTCTTCTTTTCAAGCGTAACCCCTTTACAGGCACCCTTGATTTCTCATTATCTCTCATCTGGACTATTTGAATAGCCTTTTAATTAGTTTTCCTCCCTAAAATCTCTGCCCTATCCCAACCTCCACACAGTCAGAAAGTGACTTTACTAAAGTAAATGTCTGACCATGTCTCTCTGCTGCTCAATAAATTCTGATGGCCCCCTGTTATCTCCAGGATCAAACATAAATTCCTTTGTTTGGCATTTAGAATTCTTCAACATCTCGTCCCATCCTATCTTTCCAACCATATAAAACACAGTATTCCCCTTCATGTGGTCTAACCAAACTGATCTTACTGTTCCTCCAGTACAACACTTTATCACTTGTTTTTGTACTTACTAGTTGTGCTCTCTACCTGGGATGTATTCCCTCCTTCCCTCTGTCTTTAAGAATTCATTGTGTCCTTCAAAACTCTCAGGTGTCACCTTTTGTGAAGCCTTAGTGCATAAGGAGTATGCACCTGGCTGCCCTCCTCCATAAAAATCACCTTGGGTTTATTTTCTATATATTTGTTTCTGTACACATACATTGTTTCCCTGGTAGAATTTTTTTTTCTCACAGGGAGGCAGTTTTCTTTTTTCTTATTATTCTCCAGGACCTAACACTGTGCCTGCCATATAGTAGATACCTAATTAAATGTTTATTGATTGATTAATTGTATCCTTTTTTAAGGGTCTGGTGTAGCCTGTCTTAATTTCATATTGCATGGTATATACCATGAAATTATTCTGTAATATATTTTCAACTTAGACTTTGGTCATAGCTTAAATTAACTGAATAGTTAAATATCAAGCGTATGTCTTGTTATCTGCTGCAGAGCATTCAATCTAGTCATATGATATTTAGTTTGTTTTAGACAGTTGACTGACTAGGTTTGATAGTAGAAGTCTAACTGTTGCTTTAGCACCAAAACCAAAGACTGCCTTTGTAAAACTGGAGAGCTTAGAAATACAGCCTGAGCTTTTCTTAGATGAAAAATAGCATAAAGCAGATGTGAAATTAATACAAATGTTATCTTTGGAAATTAGTTGAGAAATGTGACATTGTTCACTAGTTTTTTTGACTCATTAAAATGTCACTGTGGCGTGAACTTTCCTTTGATTTTCGGTCTGACTTTTTATTTCGTTGTTTTCTCTGCCTTTTCTGAGCTTATTTTCACAGTCTATAGTAGTAGTGTTCACATTGTGTAGTACTGATGGTAAAAGTTGTTTGGATTTTCATCTGCCATCTCATGATTTAAATATCTTTAGAATAATGACCCAAACAGACTACTGAGTGTATTTTTTTTAACTATTAGGAAGTACCTTCCAAATAGTTGCTGACCACGCCTCAGGAGAGCTTACATTTTTATTTCTGATGAAGATGTGAACTTTGAGCTATGTACATGTGTTTACCAGTCCTTGTAAAGCCCATGTAACCAAAAACTCTCAATTTAGGAAACAAATAAAGAAACAATATTTTGAAAAAGTACTTACATACTTTGATGGATCTGTCATCTCCATGTGAATCCTTTCTCTACATCGCCAGATGGCAAACCATTTGTGCCTTCTCAGTCTGTGGGATTCATGGCCATGCCTTTCTAA